GCATGGGGTGGGGGTCTGGTGGCCACCTATAAACTTGCCAAGGGGGACCAGCAGGCATTGGGAGAGTCCCTGTTCCCCCAGCACTACCGGGGTAACAAGGAACAACGGCCATAAGTTGACTGAGTGTAGATTCAGGCTAGATATCAGGAAGCGCTACTTCACTGTCAGGGCGGCTAGGATCTGGAACCAACTTCCAAGGGAAGTGGTGCTTGCCCCTACCCTGGGGGTCTTCAGAAAGAGGCTAAACAGCCACCTAGCTGGGGTCATTTGACCCCAGCATCCTTTCCTGCCCATGGCAGGGGGTCGGACTAGATGTCTGCTTAGGTCCCTTCCAACCCTACCAACTACGAAACTATGTGAAATAAAATCTCAGGGGTCAATGATAGCATATATGAATCTTGTCATTTCTACCCCCTACAGGTCAACACTTTCATCTCCTTTGTGTTCCCGATGGTTGTCATTTCGGTGCTGAATACCATCATTGCCAACCAGCTCATCGTCATGTTCAAGCAGTCAACACAGGAAAACCAGGTCTGCACTATTGGAGGCCAGCAGACGATGCTCAGCATGTCCATGGAACCCAGCCGGGTGCAGGCCCTAAAGCACGGAGTGCGAGTCCTACGTACGTACCTATGGCTTCACATATGGGGAGAGTTAGAGAGACAGTTTGGGATGTATTTGGGGGAACAGCTGACACCTGCCATTGAGCTGGTCAAAACTGTCATTCCAAATATTTTGCAATTCAAATTGGTTTCTTTTAAACCAGATCAAACCCCCAAATTTTAAGCATTTACTTTCCATCTTTTGTTATTGTAGCAAGTTGAGGATTACTTAGCTCAGTCCTTTATTTCCCTGGGCACTCTTGCCTCACAGGAAACACCATAAGCATAAATCCTCAAATCAGTGAACAAATATAAACGTGGCCTGCAACAAGTTAACTTGTAGTCTCAGGCCTTCGTCCAGACCCTGAGAAGGTGGCTCCAGCTCTCTGCTGCTTTCTTAGCACCAAAGTCTCCTCTCGCTCTGGAGTTCATTCCCTGGTGTGCTGCTGCTGCTCCCAGACCCCAAGAAAGTGCCTTAGCCCAGTGTTGTAGCTATTCTCCTGGCAACTCCATCTATCTATTCTTCTGTCCCCCCAGCTCCTTTCCCTGGGAGCCTTTTAACTTCCTTTGGGCCAGCCAGTTATTCATGTCAGTTTGGCCCAGTTCTTCAGGCAGACCTACAATCAGCTTTCACCACCAGGAGCTGGGCTGTAGCCCCTGCAAGCCTACAGACTGCTACAGTCTGATGTGTGCAACCTTCTACATGCCTTTGCAAGCCAGCAGCCAGCTACAGTTATCTTTTCATTTCCCCCTATTTACAATCAAACGAATTGTGTCTCAGGTTTCAAGGGCCCTGCTCATCTTATAGATTTATATTTTCATTTTTGTTTTGCCAGTCTGTACATTTTCCTAACTCTCACATTTTGAAAAACTGGAGACTAGCAAAAGGAAATGGAAACTCTCTAATTCCATTGTTCTGTAGGTATTGAAAGTTGGAGACATTTGGAATTGTTACACAGGGGGTACATCTACACATGTGCTTTACTGTGGAGCTGACTAATTAGCTTTGCAGTAAAGTGTCACCGTCTACACGTGCACATGTATTAGGGCACAGTAAATTAATTAACTTGGCTGTAGTTTAATACTGTCCAGGACAAATACTATCCTACATCACAGTAGTTGCATGCACTGAAACACATGTGTAGATGGTGACTGGGGCTGACTGGGGCATGATGGTGCTACAGTGTGGGGCTACCTGCCAGCTAGCCCTGCACTGTAGCACCCTTCTGTCCTAGCCAGCCCCTCTGTAGCATGTTAAGCTGACGAGGAGCAGCCCCAGGCTGGCACCTAGGACCTCCTACCAGCCAGGGCTGCTTTGCCCCAGCTCAGCACACTGCAGTCCCAGGTGCACATGTAAATACTATGCCCAGGAGTAATAAACTCCGGTGCAAACTGCACCAGAGTTTATTGCTATGAGCTAATTGCATGTGTAGATGCACCCAGTAGCATAACAAAAAAGTGAAAAGGGTATTAATTTCTAAATCTGGCTTTCTAGGACTGGCTAGCATGTGTTTTTCTGTATTCAGGGTAAGAAAAAATGAGAAAATGAAAATTCAGGATACTGAAAATGCACAAAAAATGCATATTGTACATTGCAAAAGGAAGCAACTTCAGAGTGTACTGCAAAATTGGTTTTGACCAGCTCTAACCAGCACACAAGTGTGCTACTTGGTAGTGGTTAACTCTCAGCATTTTTTGGTAGGTAACAGAGGTTTTACAGTCACAGTATAAGGTCTTAAATTCAAAAACAACATTCCTAGGCCCATAACTATTAAAGAGACAAGTACATGCATATCGTTTAACACATACTGAATTGCTATCCTAAATAAATAGGCTTTTATGAATGAAGATCTAAATGCTGACAGTTTAATTGGAGAAGATATTGGACATGCTAGTGGACTCAAAGTGATGTGAAGAAGAGCACTTTGCACTTGAACGCTTGTATAACATTGATCTAATGAAAAATATTACCAAAAAAAATGTTTCCCACCCCCGTATGTTTCCAAGACTTTCACAGCTACAACAGGTTGGATCTGTATTCTGAATCACTCATACACAAGAAATGTATTACTAAATGTGCAAAGTTGTCTCAACAGCATATATAATTATTGCAGTTGTGTATGCAGTCATAGTAATTTTGGGCACACCAAATTATGCATGTAAATGTAATTCACTTTTGACATGCAAAGACTGTTCAAAAGGCCATCTCTTGGTATTTTCTAGTTTAATCTATTTTTCTTATGCACATAAAATTAACAATGCTGTGAACATATTCTCCACTGTAGCAGAGCTGTCTAGAAAAAATCAGGTTTTCAATTAAAATGTATTGAAAAAGTTATTTCCACGTATATTCCAAGCTCTGGTTCAGGGTTCAACTGCACCATTACTTTTGGTAAAAAATGGCAAAAAATCAGACTTTTTCTGCAGCAATGTTTCCACTTGCAGGCCTAGCTTGTACTTTCACAGCACTTTGAAACAAAAATGTTAGGATCTCTGTTTCCATTACCTGCCTAGCAACACATTTTTTCAGTCTTCTACACTTTATGTTCAGTAACATCAATGGAGTAACTATAGCTACAGGCTCCAAACCTAAACGGAGTTGGTTACAAGAACAATCATTGTATTCTCAACAGTGATATAATTCTCATTTGTCTGTTGTATATAAACAACAGTCAGTGAATTGAATCTCTTATGTATCTCTGGTTATTACCTTACCAGATTATAACATGTCCTCTCTCCAAAATTAATGAGCCTGTATAATACTCTAATAACATTACAGAATTCTGCAGCAATTTGTCTCACAAATGTCCAGTCATAAAAAATGCAACACATATGGTGACCAGGAAGCTTGTTAATAGAGCGAGCTGAGCAAAAAAGACCATCTTGAAATGCAAGAAAATCCCAAAAGGCTGGTTTTGAATAGCGCCAATCTAATGAAGACACTGGGGCCAAGTCAATCCCTGGGTGATTCCCTTCATTTGACAAGAGATATATTTGGCCAAGTATTTTTTTTTTTTTGCTATTGTTCTCTGTCATTTCTACTTTGACTTTCAAACTTGATGAGAATCCTTTAAATCTAGTAATAGTAATATTTAAGTTGTTGGTAACAAATGGGATTGTTTCCTTTGGAAGGGTAGGATTACTTTCTCTCTTGCTTTGTTTTCTGCTAGCTAGCAAAAAAGTCCCTTCCCCATGACTAAAATTAATTCAGTCACTGTGGTTTTGCTTGGAGAGGTGTGTTTGAGTTCTGTGATTTGGACCAAGTCAGTTGGGAAGGAGAATGGTTGTGGTGGAAAGAAACTGTGGCCTGCCATCCATTGGAAAGGGTCAGCCCTGACCCATAAGACTAGGGTAGGGTAGGAGTTACGGCCAGAGCAGACAAGGGCTGCGCTGCATTAGTGCAGCCTTTGAGCACAGACAAAGTTTCTGGGAGGGTTGGCTACAATTCAGAGCTATCCCATGCATGGAAACCACAGAGGACCTGCTCCTTCTCAGCATGAATCGGCAATGATTCAGGGGGCCATGCTAGAAGGAGGGGCAAAACACATGACAAATCTAGGCTACTATCTGAGATCTGCCGCCCTGCTTCCACTGTTCTTGTACCCATAAAGTGGCAGAAACTCTTAAGCAGCACGACCAAAATATCACAAGAGAAAGTTTCTGTCCCCAGTGAAAATGAGCATGTGTCAGAAATCTCAGGGGGAGGTCTTTGCAGCTCCTCAAGATCTGGAAGATTAAAATGTCCTTCCCCTACACATCCAGACACAGCTTTTACAAGCACATCCACCTGTGTTTTCACATGTAATCTTGGATTTGCATTTGTACGTGCAGTTTTTGTGGTTGTCGTCACTGTTGAGTGCTTATGACCTATCAGATGTCTCATTAAGCATTTACACGTGCCCTTATGATAACTTAATGGAGAAATTAGATGTAATTGTGGTGTAGAGGGACACTGATGCTCAGAGACTTATGAAGTTCACCCATCATTTCTAAAAAGGCTTGGGTATGATCTACACAGATAGACAGAAGTACACTAATACAAATTATTTTGAGAAAGCATTTGTAAATGAAGCCAAGAGCAAAACTGGCATTTTAATGGCTCAGTTAATACCAACTGAGGCAGTGCATAACTTTTTTCCAACTACTTAGTTGGTCTAATAAAAGATATCAGATTTACTCAAAAACACTTGCCTGCCTATGTCCTTAGACCAACACGGCTACAATCAAAAACCCAGTAACTTGCCTTATTGCCTTCCTTTTCTGCAGCTCTGTGCTTTGGATAGAGGTTACCTAAATAAAAGATCCTGAACTTGGTAATGGAGCTGAACTGTGGAAGACTTGATGTCTTAATTTAATGAGACAAGGAAAAGGCAAAAGCATCTGAAAGTACAAACACAGACGAGGAAGCAGAATCAGTTAAAAGAAATAACACTGAGAAGGATTCTAATAAAATATGCCCTTTTCTGCTTTAAGTGGTGACAGCCGCTGATACACAGGATAGCATGAAGGTTTCTGACAGCTTGGCAGGCAGCAGCGCGGATCAGTGCTTTCTTCATGGCAAGCTTGTTTGAGGCTGAAATGCTTCGGCTGATGTGATGTTTGTTAGGTCGTGTTTCATATCAGGAGCCGAAATCCCGTCCGTAGCTGAATCAATTTACCTTGGGAAATTTCAGGTCCATTATTCCCAGTTGGCGCAACTCAACAGGAGGTAGCTGTAATGGAGGCTGTAGTGTAGGCAAGGGTGAACTGTAATATAGATAAGACTTTGAATGCTACACAGTTTAGTGCTTTAATGAGAGGAAAGGTGGGCTTGTGCGTAAGGAATTAGACAGGGACTCGGGAGGCATTGAAGAGACCGTGCTAATCCCTGGAAGGTACTTACACACCTAAACAGTCTTGAGGATCGGGTCTTTGCAAAACAATAGGGCTGGGAGCTATGTTCAGGCCTCGTGGGATGCATACATATTTTTTAGCACTTCCTCCTATCTCTGTGAAGCAAGAATCTGCTGTTTCTCATTTG